AGTGGCTGGCCCAGCAGTCCTTTGTCAGCAGCCGCTCAGACGTGTTCGTGTCCTCGGAAGACATAGAGGAGGTCCTAGAGCAGATGTCAGAGTTTGCCGAGAGCTGTGGCCGACCAGACGCCGGCAGATCAGACATGGACGACATTTTTACTCCGCCGGAGAATGGCAGCAAAGTTCGTAGCTACTCTGCGACTGCTTGGATCAAGAAACAGTGAGATTTTAAAAATATTTTGTTCTTTTTTACTTAAAAATGTTCTCCATGCTAGACATGTTGGCAAACTATTTTGAAATCAGAGGACTTTGCTCGGGGTATTCGAGGGAATAAGAATGAAAAGTTATAACATAAATCGGTATTTTCTCTCTCTTGATTGTAAGTTTTGATATTGGTGACATACGCGCATTGCAGTTAATTGTCTCCATCATTACATTGTAACAACACTGTGGTTCTTTTCTTGGGTATTAAGTTCTAGATAAATTTCCTTCCAACAGATCTGAACCTCCTCCAGTCAAGACCAAATCAATTTTGTTGTTGAGTGGAGACCGAGGAGTTGGCAAGTCGACCCTGGCGTCTCGCTGGCTGAGAACATTTGACAGTGCTGACATCTGCGTCATCTCACACTTTGTGTCAGCCTCCAGTGGTAGTGCTGACATCAGCATATTCATGAAGCAGTGCATCAGACAGTTACGCCAAAGGTACCTCTTGTCAGGTAAGTCCAAATTTCTCTGCTTAAAATTTGACGATATGCTAGAATGAACCAATGCTTTGTGCTTGATGGAAGTCTTTGATAGAATTATGTTCATTTTACAATCTTTCTTAAAGACTGATATCCAGGAGCTTTCTGAAAACTATTCATAGGTCTGAATTACTTTTCTTATACAATTTTTCCTTAATAGCCATTAAACATTATACCATCACATCTTTAAGAGAGAGAAATTGAATTAAAAAAGCCTCACATACAACTCTTTGAGTTGCAGCTCTAATGACAGCTAGTAGACAAAAGTCAGGCCCACATTGTGGGCTTACTCTAATGCTGGTTAACTCTTTGAGGATTGACATTCTGATTATTACGCACTGTGTTATTAACTATAAAAAAATAAGTTTCGCTTTGTTTTTCATACACATTTTTCAATCCTGTTTTCCTTCTCTGAAACGTAAAAAGACCGTATGTATGATGAAATTCGTAAATTCGTGTTTCTGATTATTTTGTGTATGATGGTTCAAAAAGTGCCACAACATTGCCTTTGGTCTGCTGCTGATTGTGCATACATGTTTCTGCAGGGGAGCTCTCGTGGCCTAGAGGTTAAAGTGTTCACCTTTCATTCAATAGGTCCCAAGTTCGAATCCAGATAGCAAAGGAAAATTGTCTTCTCTAATATTTTCTTCTTTCACCCCCTCTCCTTCTCTCTAACAATGTTCTGTCGACTGCTTTCATCGCCACTTTCTTCCCCCAACCCTCTCACCTCCTTTGCCCCTTTCTTTGGGCTCCTGACTCTTTCTGCAGCTCTTCTATCTGCTACTTCTTGGCCCCCTCTTATTGCTGTCTTTCTGCCACACCCCTGATCCTCTTGTAGGAAAGATCTACACATAGCCTTCTCGGACAAGGATGAAAAATCTCGTGCAAGTTGCGTATGTTAAAGATCCCGTGGTGGTCCAAATTCGATAAGAGTAGGCTTCGGCCGCCACCCGTGCAAAATTCAAAATTTCCTTCCAATTGAAAATGTTTCATGTGTCCCGCGCGCTCATGTGACCTTATGCTGTTGCGAGTGCCGTAAAACACTTACCATATCCAAATATGTTTATGTTACGTCCTTAAAGAGTAAACAAGGAAAATTCAGGCAAACAAATTCTGTTTAGGGACATCAGTTCCCGTGACGACAGTGAAGTGCCTGTTGCTGCACCAAAGATGCCAGTGCCCTGACTTGTAGCAATAGTAAAAAATATTTGTCATTTATATAGCTCTCTACCCTGACTAAAGAACACAGGCTATGAGCGCTTTGACAGTTAGCAACACACAGACAACACATTGCATTTTGACTAAAAGATTCGCCACACTTTGTGACAAATTTCTCAGATAAACCCAAGAAAACACTAGAATGATCATGGAACGGTCTGTCTGTCAGGTGCTCAACACAACTCGCTCACTTACTTTCACATCTGTTACTGTTGCTCTCCACAGATGACTACAACTCCCTCAGCATCTACGCACAGGTGGAGAACAGTCTACAGGAAAACGGAGAAGACTTTCGCTTCTTGTGTGAGGCTTTCATGGCTTCTGTTGCTCTGGGCCCATGTGTGATCCTTGTGGACGGCCTCAATGAGCTGGGGCCATCTCATGGAATGAGAGCTAATGAGGTATGTTGGTGTGAAATGCTAGCGAACAAAGGAAAAAGCTGGGAAGCTTTAAAAAAATTATCAAATTAACATGCATCCCTTTGGGAATTACTGTCAAAATTGTCTAAAACAGATACTTTTTGTCAAGGAGAAAAGTGGCTGTCTTAGACAGAGAGATGTCTTACAGATTGTCATTGCAGTGAAAATAAACCCAACAACAACCGCAAACTGCAAAGAGGAAATGGGAAGGGGTGTTTAGTACTAGTAATTGTCTTATGTCTTACCTAGATAGTTATTAAAATAGATTTGACCATAAATCATTGTCATTTATCAAAAGAAATAAACACTGGAAAATGGACAAATACATAATAATAATAATGAAGATCATTTCTATAGCGCCCACTCCCATGTAAACACAGCTCTAGGCGCTTTACATAAATGCATGTACGAACAATACCCATTTACCAGACATAAACACGCACACACACTCATACACACTCACACACACGCACACACACACACACTCACACACTAACGCACACACATACACACACAAATACACACACACACACACACACTCACGCACACATTACATGCACACATGTGCACACACACATGCACGCAAACACACACACATACACACACACACACACACACACACACACACACACGCACATACACACACACACATACACACACATCTACTTGCTTATCACACACGCATGCTTACACATCATTGCGAAATGAGCCCATACACATACTTAATAAAATAATATAGACAATGCAATTCGCAAAATACATAAATGGATACATAGTCATTTTCATAACATTGTACTGGACATGAATCTACTGACATAAAAATGATGTCATTAAATGTGTCTAAAGATTTTTTAAATTTAGACTCAGATGTTGTATGTCTCAAGGGTTGGGGAAGAGAGTTCCAAACATCATGTGTGTACTCACAGTTTCAAGTTATGTCATATTTTTTGCTCATCAGTCAGTGCTAAAAACTTTTCATAAAAGATTGTATTCTCAAAATCTTGTTTTTCTGTTTTGAAAATCTCAAAATTTCTCAACACTTTTGTTTGTTCTCAAGTAATGCAGATTTTTGTAGCTTCTAAGAAAATTTTCTTGGGAAACATCTTTTACTTTTGTTGACTTTTGTTTGCTCTGAATACAATGCGTATGAACCTTTGTAGTCCAGATTTCCATTTCGCGTTGTGTATATCTTATAAGTTGTCTTTTGTTTTTTTGTATTTTTTTAAAGCTTAACTCACTCCCTTCAGAAATAAATTTTATGCACTTATTTCAAAATTTTCTTTTAATTTTTTTTGTCGTTTTTGTCTTTATAACAGTTTGTCGATTTCGATCAAACACAAAAAATGTTAATTTTGTTTTCTCTGTTGTTTAGGTGAAAGAATTTCTATGGCTGACTGAGGACCTTCCACCAACCTGCAAGTTGATTGGGACCACGATGAGGTCAGACATTTCTTATCGCAGTCTGGTGAAGAGACCGGATGTTGTGTCAGTGGATAGTCCAGCGTGTCTCACTAGTGTTGACTTCACGATTGACACGGTCAGTACTACAGTTGTGGAGATGTGTCTTGAAAATGGTCGAAATTGGATTATCAAAATATAGCAGCATTCTATCTAATCTTTAATTTAAAAGAGCTGTTTCTCATAATAATAATTTGTGTTTGGGAATTTTGATAATTGCTATGCATGTACTTTAATTGTAAGACTAGCCTTGACTCATTATGTGTTTGTTTTGTTTTTACGCATTTCTTACATAAATTACTGTTTACCAGGTATTTTTGGAGTGTGACTTAAATTTGCAATTTTCATGGTTTTTAAAGAAATTTGCAAATTCAAGTTGTTGATGAAAGGTTGAAAGAGGCTCTACTGCGTTGGAATGCATGGCACAGGGTGACTCAAATCATGAAATCAAAATGTTTGCAAAAAATGAAATGGGCAAAATGTAAAAAAAAAGGCATATGGCCTTTAATCAGGTTGAGCATTATTAATATCATATCTTGATATTATCCATCAGTTGAAGGAACACCAGCCTGTGATTAGTCAACTATTGGGAGGTGAGCATGCTGTCAAACAACTGGCTGGGCTGAAGGTCATGCAGACGTCTCTAGGGTCAAGGGTCATCGGCAGTGAAGTGGCCTGCTACCGCACCTACAGCGACTTCCACGCTTTCATAGAACGCAGTACTGAGGTATGCAAGTTTTTGGGGGTTTATTTCTTCATAGTTTATATTTTTAAAAATTGTAAATGTTAAGTTTTAATCAAAAGCAAAAAATTGTCCAAATGTTGCCCATCAAAGGAAATTTTAAATTCCTCCCAGCCTGATTCGGCCCAGTGACAGAAATATGCAATGTTTAACCCATAATAAAGAGATATGTGCACGAACTGTACCTTTTAATTCTGGAATCTTTATTTAACAAATGGGTGTTGTTATATGATGTGATGTGGGCCAATGGCCTTAAACATTGAATAAACTTACTTACTTATTCTCAAAGGAAAGCCTTCACCATTACACTGCATGATTACCCAGTTCTTATTATTTTAGTTTGAATTATGTAAAATTGTGTAGGTTCAACACCCCATGCACCACTGTTAGGAAATTTATGTGGTTGGACCTATATGAACTTAACATCTTTTTTCATTATGACTGAACCAAATAGGAAATTTTCCCAAGGATACAACGTTTGAGCAAAGTGAGCATCTCATAATTACACAAATCTGGTAGTCTAACAACTAGACTACAGATACTTTCATTTAGTGCACTTATCTATAAGCTTATAATTATTCATTGGCCAGCTTTTCAGATGTACGAAGCCCAAGTTTTGAAACAATTTCTTAATCGTAGATTCTTTACTTGGGGTACCAGTGGCATATGTGCCTGAAAATCATTATTTCGAAATTAATCTTGGAAATGTTGATAAAAGCAAGAAAAGATACACAATAAAGGTACAATTTCTAGAAGAATGAGACAGTTTTTTTCTCTCTGCTGAAAAACTTTGCTTTCTGGGCTTAGAAGAGTTGAAGAGTTTGCCGAAGAATTACTCAAAAGGCTATTATTTCCTTTACTTGTGCATTCATCAACATCTGTCATGTCATTTGTACTTTCATCAACAGATCTGGTCTCTGAGAAACTTCTGGATGGGCTGTGTTCAGGGCTGGATCAATGAACATAGCTGGACACTTGACAATCCAAGTTCAGAGATAAATTTTGTAGATAGTGGATTTGGTAAGATATTTTCTGTACCTGCAATTCAATGTAACGTTATAATCTACCTAACAGTTTATTTCCTATTCTGTTTTAAGCGAATGCACATGTTTAATGGCTATGAACTTAAAACCTTTTTCTCAGAACTGAAGCAAATTTTGTGTGGATGAATAGTTAAGTTTATATATCATGTTATTTTGTCATATATCTTACCTGTTTTGTCCTAAAGAACATATATTTTTCCATCTTTTTTCCCTTAGATTACGCAGGTTGGGTGACCGACTCCCTCTGTCTCATCGCTCTGTCAAGGAATGGTTTAACACAAGGGCAAGTCTTGTCTATACTGAGACAGATGGGGTATGAGAATGACCTAGAGGTCAGCAGTTACGACTGGTTGCAGTTCCGAATCTCCGCAGGGGCCACGCTCCGAGAAAAGGCAGACGGGCGTCTTGTTTTTGGTTATAAATATCTGCAGGAAGTTGCAGAGTATTTATTTTTCAGTAAGTCTCTTAGGATTTCATTTCTTCCTTTGGTGTGACTATTTCCCACACTTGGTTGTAGCTTCCAGTGATTCTTTTTGTTCATTTAATCCTGGTCGTCTGAAATAACTATCTGTGTTTACATTAAATTTAAAGACAGCGCCGTGAAATTTTCAAAACAGTGCTCTGACTGGATGCAGTTGCAGTTAAGGATAGGAATACACCTCATATAGAAATAGAAGATAACTGTTCCTTATCAAGCAACAATAATTGTTTGAGTTGTGTCAGCAACGTCTCTTTTGCACATTAGACTAGTTGCCTGAAGCAATAGAGGTTTTCGAATATCAGAGGTATGGCAAAGTTATTGTCTGTTGTCGAATTCAGTGGAATCCCATGCAAGTTCAAGATTTGTGGTTAGATTGATAGGGATGGTGGACACATTTTTAAGGGACATGAGTGGACAGAGTGTGATGAACTTTTTTTCTTCATTTCCTTATGTGAGGACGTTGAGTGCGAATAGCTATTGCTACTATTTCTCAGCAGCAGTTTCTGAGTGTGTCTTGTGGTCTCCCTAGAATGTGCACAAACTACAGTGCATGTATCATTCTCTTTAGCCTAATTCGATAAAAGTTTTCTGTAAGTCACCTCTCGCTCTCGTTGTTTTCAGAGAACATGTCGTCTGGGTCCTGTGACGCGGCCACTATCGTGAAAAACTGCCAATCTGGCATGAGACAGTCCTACCACTTGCAGCTGGCCACATTCTTCTCCCAGCTGCCCTTCAGCTTGCAAGTGATGGAAGAGTTGCCATGGCAGCTGATGCTAGCGGGGGATCTCCCAGCTCTTTTGGATTATTTGACAGATTGTGGGTAAGTCACTGAGTCATATTATAGCCATCTGAAGGCAGAGAGACTTATCCAGAAAAATCAAGATTTCTTTTGTTTTGTGTGGAGGGTATATATGCAGGTTCATGCAACCCACTGCCGGCAAGAACTATTTCAAATGTTAAGGACCTTCACCTTTTTTAAACTTGGCTTTAGGCTGTGAGTCACGAGTCAAAGTTAGTTTGGAGCTCTTCATTATGCGCACAAAAGGTGTGAGTGTGAGTATAAATCCCACACATGAACAGAGAAACAAAAGATCACACAAAATGAAAACTAGATGTTGTATTACAAATATTAAATCCTGTTTTGAATTTTAATGAAATTGGAGCACTGAAAAGAATAACACTGCACTATTTGGCTATGATTGGATAAATAATCTTTTCAGTATGGTATTGTCACAGAAAGCTCAACACATGTATTTTTATATTCAACAAGTTATCTTGTGCATTGTGTCATAAAATATATTGTATATTGCATGTATCATAACTACTGCATATTGCATATTTTGGTATTGTATAAAAATAATTAAGAGAAGACAATATTAATGCAGTTTCTGAGATGCTTGAATAGACCTGAAAGCCTGGAACATCTTGATCTCACTAGAAAAATAGAGGGCAAAAGATGCAGGGAAGACTGAGAACAACTTACTTAAAGAACTTAAATGAGTTACGAGGAAGACAATAAAAATGGATATTGTTTTTAGAGCATCCAAGGATAAAAATGAATGGTGAACCATAAATGCTGCTGTCTCTTTCAGATCTGGTCCTCAGTCATGATGCAGTAGTGCAAAAACATTTACAGTGGAGAAATTCCATTTAATTGGAGTGGAATCATCAATGTAACTGTTTTATTGATTAACATTTTTTTCTGCTGCCTCAGGGCATTGCTCAAGATGTTGACAGGAGACTCTGAGCTCTGGTACCAGGACCTGAAGCTGTACTGGTCAGTCTGTGAGCTCAACGGTCACCCTGCATCCAAAGTTTACATCCAGCTTTGCCATGCACTCGGGGTGGTGGACATAAATGATGTACAGGTGGGTTTGGAGAAGTGGACTTAAGTTGTTAAATATTATGCCAGTGTCATTCCAGAATCACCCCGATCAATCTCTGGGGTTTCTTACTATCCTCGTGGAGATCTGGGATGATGTTTATGCTTTTAATGAATGGGAAGAATCTATCCAGTTCAAGACACTCAACTCCACTTTATTGCAATATCAAGCAGAACTAAAAAAAAGTACAGTCGAACCTACCCTAACAGCCACCTGTTCAAATCAATCGCTTGTACAAATGACCACTACTTTCCCCCCTCCCCCTCCTTCTATTTTCTTTTCTTGTATTATAAAGACCCTGTTCAAGTAGACCACCTGTCTAAGATGACTACTTTTGTCCTTGACAATGGATCACAATGTTCGACAATTTTGACGGTGCAGGAGAAGAACAGTTGTTGTCTTAGACAAATAGCCACCCTACAGTGCCATTATAATGTTAAAAAAAACCTCCCAAAAACCCCCATCAGAAACTACTAGGAGGGAAATGGGAAGTGGCCATTTCAACAGCTGATTGTCTTATACAGATAGTCGTTATCGTTAGAGCAAATTGGACTTTATACCTTTCAGAGTTTTGAAGACGCCCCCAGCGTGGATGAGACCCCGATGAGCATGTCCCCCACACCGCGGGTGGTCGTGTCTACCCCTCAGCCGGAATACGTCAATGGACACTGCGAGCCCATGGTCCTGGGGAGCATGCAGTCTCTGGTGGATGGAGTGGACGATGTGGGTGCAGATAAGGTGAGAGAGAAGAGATATGGTGAGATAGAGGAGATATGGTGAGATAGAAGAGTTATGGTGAGATAGAAGGGATAAGGTGAAATGGTGTGTAATGTTAGGGAATTATTTTTTTCCTTCCTTTTTTTTCTTTTTGGTTGTCTGTATATCTGTTTAGGTTGAAGTAAAATTATTGACATTTTGGAAAGTTAAGTCTGTCTGTCTGTCTGTCTGTCTGTCTGTCTGTCTGTCTGTCTGTCTGTCTGTCAAGGATGAGATAAGATCCTATGTGGTTTGGTAAAGTATTCTGTCTGTCTGTCTCTGCAAATGTAGAGGGATAGAAAGATATTTTAAAATAAAGGAAAAAGGGACATCGCAATAGAAAGGAAAGGGAAAAAAGAAAGACCCAAAAAATCTATAGTATGCATATGAGGCGTTTAATAGCAAAGCTGGAAATGATTTTATCAGACTTTTGGTTTTGATACTGATCTCACTTAAAGTATTAAAAGGAACGAAAGAAAACTACTTATGGTCGAGTGTATTCATTCAAAGGGACTCAATAATGATGTGCAACAGATTTTATTGATTTGAGATTTTTTTTTAATGCAGATTTGTCAGAGCCTAGAAAATTATATGTACGTGTTCCTATTGAGCCCTTGTTATACTATAATATTGGCTGGTGTGAATGAGGATTTTAGGTGAAAGTAGGATGGTGATGATGATGGTGGTGGTGGTGATGGTGATGGTGATGGTGATGGTGATGATGATGATGATGATGATGATGATGTTAATAATGTTGGTGATGGTGATGGTGATGATGATGATGTTTAGGAGGAGGATGATGGTGATGGTGATGGTTAGGATGATGAAATAAAAGAAGAATCGAAAGAAGAGCAGTTTGAAAAAGCTAAAGAAAACCCACCTTTGAACAAACTAAACAAAAAAACAAAAAAATTAAATGGAGATTTCTCAAGGATATTAACTCTAAGATGAAATGAATGCAGTTTCTATACATAAGCGTTCAATAAGTTTGCTTGTTCCCCGACTTTCAGTTATCCGAAGTGCATATTAATCCCCGTGTTTTTTAAAAATAATCTTGCCTTCATATGCAGCTTATCCTTTCTCCTGTCAGATAGAAATAACCTTATAAGAGTTATTCATATATATACTCAAAATGTTGACGTATAAGACGGACAATGAAAATTGTGACTTGCATATTTGCTGCATTTCTTTGTTTCCTGCTTTTTATTGCACATGAGAAGGCTCAAACACATAATATATAAGAAGAAAAATAAAATTGTGACTTGCAGATTGGCTTCATTTCTTTGCTTCTACTTTTTCCCCCTTCGCCAGCTGACTTTATCACATTTTATATCAGAAGGTCAGAAAAAGTATGAAATAGTGACTTGCACGTTTGTTTCATTTCATTGTTTCTGCTTTCTTCTTTTTCGCCCACGAGCAGGTTCAAGCATCTGATCTCGTCACAGAGCAAGATTTTATTGATGGCGTCTTTGTCACCCAGAGTGGTGGGGTGGGCGGGGCTGGTATAGTGGGCGTGGCTGGTGACACGGGGCCCGGACACATGGAGGTCCGGGGAACCGACAAGGACAACTTTCCAGGCGTGGCTTCGCTGTGCTGGAATGTGGCGTTCTTCCTACAATCTCTGGGAGAGCGGGAGGCCGCCTGGGTTCTTTTCCATTCTCTAGTCAAATATATCAAGCAGGTGAGGACTGTTTGTGTGCCGTACTGTTGGATATTGGGCTAATTGTAGATTTTACTTTTTTTTTTCTTTCCCTCTGTTATTTCTGCCTGTTTGTCTCGCCCTTTCCCTACGCTGAATGATATGCCCTATGCTAAATGACAGTTGTTGCTAAATGACAGTTGTTGCGTTAAGTCAAATATATCTTCCAGGCGAGAATTGTTTTGGGTGACGCCACTGGTAGGTCCTGCTTTTTTTCTGTCCCTCTATCTATTGTCTTTCTGTCTTTCTGTCTTTTTTTCTCTTCTCAAAATGCCAGTTATTGAGTTAGATCAAATATATCAAGCAATTGGGAATTATTAATGGGAGGTTGTTTAGCGCCAATGGTAGGTCCTGCATTTTTCTTTCCTTCTTTTGTTCTTGTCTGTCTCAATTTCTTTCAGCGATCATGGTTCACCATTCATTTCTTTACTCAGACATTCTCGAAAAAATTATGTTATCAAGTTCTTTCCTCGCCAATCATTTGTTAATTTCTATCAACGTAAATTGTTCTTGATCTTCCCCTGTTTTTTCCTTCTATTTTTTAAATGAGAGCAAGATGTTCCAGGCCTTTACGACGATTCAAGTGTCCCATAAACGGCTTTTGCCTCTTCCCTATTGTTTTTCAGTAGTGAGCGGCACACGATGGCTTAATTCATCTACCACGACTACCTCATTTGATTCCTCTATCTCAATATCCTAATAAACACATACATACGTCTTAATGATATTTCAACGTTCCAGGACCAAACCATATATTATCAGACCTTTACACTTTCAGAACGGAGCCATGATAATACATTCAAACTATACACTTTTAGAACAAAGCAATGTATCAGACCTACACACGTTCAGGACTGAGCGATATATCAGAGCTATACACTTTCAGAACAGGCCCATATATTATACCTGTACCCTTTCAGAACTGAGCCATATATCAAACCTATACACTTTCAGAACTGAGCCATTTATCAATCCTATACACTTTCAGAACTGAGCCATTTATCAAACATATACACTTTCAGAATTGAGCCATATATCAAACCCATAACTTTCTGAACGGAGCCATATTAAATCCGACCTAAACACGGTCAGTGGTCAGAACGGAGCCATATATCAGACTTATACACTTTCGAAACTGAGCCATAAATCAGATCTGAACACTTCCAGAACAAAGCCATATTTTTTCAGACTTATACTTTTCCAGAACTGCTATTTATATCAAGCCTACATCTATCCCCTTTCAGAACTGCCACATATATTAAATATCAAACCTATGTCTATCCACTTTCAGAACTGATACATATATTTTGTATATCAGACCTACGTCTATCCACTTTAAAAACTGACACATATATTATATATATCAAACCCACGTCTATCCACTTTCAGAACTACCCTCTGGACCTGGACCAGCAGATTTTGCTGTGTCGCTGCCACTACTCCCTGGGCCACCTGTGTGAGCAGGAAGAAGAGCCGCTGGCGGCGGAGAGAGAGTACCGCAGCGCTCTACACGCTCTGGTCGATGCCGACGATATGGACGAGGAGCTAGAGCGGCAGGCTGATATCAGATACCTCAAAGGTGAGGTCCATGCAGTGATGATGCTATTGTTTTTATTTTTTTATTTTGGTGATAGTTGCCATCCATGAAGCTGATAAAAGCTCTCTGTGTCTGTGTCTTTTTCTCTTTCCTTGTTTCTGTCTTCCTTTGTCTGTCTGTCTGTCTCTGTCTGTCTGTCTGTCTGTCTGTCCTCCCCCCCCCCTCTCTCTCTCTCTCTCTCTCTCTCTCTCTCTCTCTCTCTCCCTCTCTCTCTCTCTCTCTCTCTCGGCTACAAGTCTTTCCCCCTTCCACCACTGGGAGACTCAGGTCACAATAACATCCTTCTGACCCCAAAGTACCGCCCCCTGCTCAAGACAAAGAAACCAACAACCAGGACGATACCATCATGGACAGACGACACAACCGAGCAGCTACGGGGATGCTTCGACTCTACAGACTGGGACATGTTCAAAGACGCCTGCAAGGACCTTGACAAACTTACCGAAACCATTTGTGCTTACATTAAGTTTTGTGAAGAAACTGTTACTATTTATAAAACCCTCACGTACAATCCAAATAATAAGCCATAGGTAACGAAAGAACTGAATGATATTATAAAAGAAAAAAGGAAAGCCTTTAGAAGAAATAACATGAATGAAATGTACTTGATATCTAAAAAAATGTTTTTAAAGATTGCTCATTGTAAACAAGCGTACAAAACTAGAATTGAGAGCGAATTTCAGACAAATAATATGAGAAATATGTGGTCCTCTTTGAAAAAAATAACGGGTTATACTGCAGCGAGAGAGAGTGTGCAAGTAAAAAATGAAACAGACTGTAAATGAGCTAAACAACTTTTATTGTCGTTTCGACTGTTTTGATTTTGAGAATGAGCAGCATGATCTTAAACAGAGGCTAAGAGACGAGTTGAGCAAGGAGGAGTGTGTTGAGCTCAGTGAGCGGAGTGTTAAAAAGAAATTTCAAAGTGTAAACATAAACAAAGCCTGTGGTCCACACGGAGTGAAAGGGAGAGTGTTAAGAACTTGTTGTGAGCAACTGGCGCCGATATTTACCTTCATTTTTAACCTGACCCTACACAAAACTACATTTCTACAATATGGAAAACATCGGAGGTAATACCAATACCAAAAAAGCCTAAAATATATGAATTAAATGACTTAAGACCAGTCGCTCTTACATCCATTGCTTTCAAGTGACTTGAAACATTGATCCTCTTTAATATTCTAGGTTGTGTTCATGGAAATCTAGATCCATTCCAGTTTGCATACAAACAAGAGAGGAACGTAGAAGATGCTGTACTTGTTTTTTGTGACTCTGTACTGAAACAAAATGAAACATCTAAAACGTATACAAGGGTACTTTTTGTAGATTTTTCCTCAGCATTTAATACAATTCAACCGCATATTGTCATTGAAAAACTTCTGAGTCTGAGAGTTAGTCATCGTATCGCAGCATGGGTCCTGGAATTTTTGACAGGTAGACCACAATATGTGAAGCTAAACAACACAAAATCTGACACAATTCTTTGTAACACCGGCGGTCCTCAGGGGTGTGTTTTGTCACCAGTTTTGTATACTATATATACCAACGATCATAGAAGTATATATAAAACAACACGCTTAATTAAGTTTGCAGATGACTCCGCTATTATTGGATTAATAAACCTTGATGAAAAAGAGTATTTCGAAGAAATATGTAGGTTTTTTAAATGGTGCAACTCAAATTTTCTAAAAGTGAACCTCTCAGAAACAAAGGAAATGATTTTTGATTTTAGAAGAGAAAAACCAACAATCCCACCACTCGCTATTGAACAAGAAACTATTGAAATCACTGTTTCATACAAATATCTTGGCCTTACAATGGACAACAAATTTACATGGCAAAACCACGTAAACAATATCTAAAAAAGGTAAATCAGAGGCTGTACTTTCTGAGG